GAGCTGTGCTGGGGCCTCGCTGGTCTGAAGAGTCTCCCCACAGGCTCACCCGGAGCCCAGGGGTGAGCGGGGGGTTCCCCACTGCACTGGGCCATCAAGGGCTGTGCACTTGGTCAGGAGAAGCGGGAGTCCCTCTCCAGCGGTGGCAGGCTGTGCTAGATAAAAGTGCCACCAGCACACCTGGAGGGGGCCCCCATGCAATCAGGCTTCAAACTGTGCAGGATTTGGGGCAGCCGGGAGAAAGGAGAGGTAAGCGACTGGGGGGGGGTGGCTGCTGCACCGGGAAGGAGGAAGAAGAGGCATTTGAGCAGGGCCTGGCAGCCAGGGTCTGCCCCACCTTCCTGGGGGTCAGGATGCTGTCACTCCTGCTTAGGAAGGATGCTGCCTCCTGGAGCCTGGGCGCTGCTCACGGCCTGGCAGGGCATGGCCTGCAATCGGAGCCCGCAGGAGGCTGGACATAAGCAATCAACTTTGATCCACAGGAACACAGGGCCCAGCGCCAACTTGGTGGCCTTCACAGGACCCAGCACTGTGGATGCCTGGCTGGCCTGCTCCCACAGGCCTCCCAGTCCAGAGACATCCTGGTGCTCAGGGGCTGGGACCAAACCCTCGTGGGCGGGTGACACTGGGAGTGCCCAGGGCAGCATTCGTGGAAGGCCCCAGTCTCTTCTGTGGGTCGTATTTCGGAAGAGGCAGGAAAGAGCTGCTCTTCTCAATTCGTCAGGGAGGAAGCTGAGGTCCAGCGAGGTGAAGGGGGCCTGAGGTTACAGCCCAGCCTTGAATCTCATCAACACACCTGGGGCACTCTGCCCTCCGCAGTCATGGGGACTCGGGGGCAACGCTTGTTCTCGGCACGGAGTGAGGACAGGACTCAGCCAGACCTGGTTGGTTCTGAGTCTGTGCTTGGTCCCTCTCCATCAGCAAGGCCTCTACCTGCTCTGGGCCTGTGTCCACCTCCGTGAAATGGAAGGATAATATATATGCGCAGCCCCGCTGGCGACCGGGAGGACTAACCAAGTCCAAGCACGCCAGTGCTGGGCAGACTCTCCACCTAACTCCCGGGACAGGTGCAAGGGGGCCATCCCGGCTCCTGCCCTCCGTCCTGGTGCCAACATCAGAGGCTCATTGTCCTCCATATCTCAGGAATGTCAGAAAATTGCAGCGTCACGGTGAGCTGGCGGCTCAAGGTGGTTTCTCTCCTCCCAGGGCAGTGGGCAGAGAGGCCAGACCCGAAGGCTGCCCGGGGAAGCCACCGGCCAGTGCTTAGGAAATGAAGGCGCGGCCGGGCAGCACAAGAACATGGGAGGCGGTCAGACCATGAGGGACACTCGGGGCCAGGCAGGGCGCGAGGGCGCACCGCCTGCTGCCAGCACCCTGGGCACTCCGGGCTCCAGCATCTCTATGAGAGGCTCGTCCCTATTTTCCAAATGGGGACCTGCGATCTTCCAAGCTGAGCTGTGTACAGCTTCCGAGGGCTGGACTGTCCACCTCGTGTGCTGCCTGCACGGCCTCCCCCGGCCTCCTTCCCCACCTCCTGCCGCCCTGGGCTTGCACTGGAGTCAGAACTCCCTCCCCACCTTGTACAAGCTGCATCCGACCTGCACGCCCTCCCCTCCTTCTCTGTGCTCTGTAATTTTACCCACCTTCCTGGGACAACCTCCCTGACCACTCCAGCCGGGCAGGTCTCATGTGCTGGGGCTGCCCCGGAACCTCCCACGCACGAGCTCTTAACTCACAGGGGCCCCTCTGCCAGGCGACAAGATCCCTGAGGCCTGACACACCTCCACCCGGAAACTGCTATGCGCCTGGTGGGCTTGCCATCTGGCTGCGTCAATGCCCGTGGCTGGCTGGCTGATACTGAACAAAGTGGACACACAAACCCTTAGAGGTGGGGAGGGAATTCAGAGTGACCCATCAAGCCAGAGAGCCGGGGAATCATCCTAGGGGGCAGCCCCAAATTCCCCACCAGCACGAGACAGGAAGCGGATACTGAGCAATGACTGTCCACTGGGGCCTGACTGGGGACCCTGAAGGCCTGACAGTCTGGGGAGCACAGAAACATCCCCTAAACATCTCCTCCCATCTAGGGGAGCAGCAGCACAGACGCCCGATCAAGAGCGGGTGCCCTCCTGCCTGGTTCAAAGACCAGCTCTGCCACGACTAGCTGCATCGTCCCGGGCACATATCATAATGTCTGTGCCCTCTGGATGCGTCCCTTCCTGTAAATGAGGGCCGGGGATTAACAAGCGCGCCCTCCTCTGCTGCGACTTCCCTCACAGGGTCGTTGGAAGGATTCAACTTGTTAATACAGGTGGGACAATGAAGTTTGTGAACTTGTTGCAACAATGTTGCTAACTTTTTGATACCTGAGGAATTATTCATTATGAATTTGTACCAACTGGACAAACAGTGAACCAAGTTTACTATTTGGAAGTGCTGAAAAGGCTGCGTGAAAAAGTTAGACGACCTGAACTTTTCACCAACAATTCACAGCTCTTGCATCACGACAATGCACCAGCTCACACAGCACTGTCTGTGAGGGAGTTTTTAGCCAGTAAACAAATAAATGTATTGGAACACCCTCCCCACTCACCTGATCTGGCCCCCAATGACTTCTTTCTTTACCTGAAGATAAAGGAAATATTGGAAGGAAGACATTTTGATGACATTCAGGACATCAAGGGTAATACAAGGACAGCTCTGATGGCCATTCCAGAAAAAGAGTTCCCAAATTGCTTTGAAGGGTGGACTAGGCACTGGTGTCAGTGCATAGCTTCCCAAGGGAAGTAATCTAAAGGTGACTGTAGTGATATTCAGCAATGAGGTATGTAGCACTTTGTCTAGGATGAGTTTGCAAACTTAATTGTCAGACCTCATATACATATAATTTACCACAGGGCCTGGCATATGGTGAACCTAATTGGGATCTGAGACACAGCACAAAGAAAGAACTAGGGGAGGACAGGGAAAAACAATCTCATGGTCCAAGTGGACCACAGGTGAAAGATGGTGGCAGTGCCAAACTTAGATTTTAAAGTTACAGAAGGGAGCTGGATGCATGGCCGGGACCAGCAGGAGGCAGAGCCAGGCACTGATATGAGAGTCCCAGATTCTCCTCCCCACCCCATACACACACCTGGCCCTGTCACTGATTTGTTGCTTTGTCTGTTTGCGTCTTGGCTTTATAAAATGGGATGGTCCTGCCTGAGTTATGTATAAAGGATTAGCAGCCTTTAAACGGACAGCGCGGACTCTCTTCCTACTACACTAGACACGGGCTGGGAGGCCCTCAGGGTCTGGAGAGAAATTCTGCACGGGCTTCAAGGGGGTGGGGAGGTAGCCACACCATCAGGACCACAGAGGCTGCCGTGGTGGCCATGTGACTCGGCGGACCCTCCCATGGAGCAGTTGGGTGGGTGCTTTTCCCATGCAGGTCAGGACAAAAGGGCAGATTTAACTTGCAGTGGGGTGATGTGAGTTAGACTGGATGCAAAACTTCCCACTTCAAAGCTTGGCAAAGCTTTAGAATGTTCTCCTTTCCTATCCTTCAGAAAAAGGCAGGCGACCCCTCGGCACCGTGGTTCACTGGGCGCTTGTAGAATGAATGAACGCGCATGAGTGAATGACAGAGGATTGGCTTTTGCACAAAGTTACCGATCGGTCTGAGCCTTGGTTTTTCTCAGTGGTGAAATGGGGACAAAACAGCTCCTGGATATAGGCCACAGATTCTTGTGAGGGCTAAATGTGATGGGAGATCTGAAAGTAATTAAAGATTAGCCCCCAGAATATCTGGGTGGAAGTGCTCCTGAAGAGAGCTTCCTGGAGGAAGACAGAAACATGGTGGAAGAAAAATGGCTCCCCGAGGTCCCATGGGAAGACGGCAGGGGACGAAGGTCCTACCCAGCAGGAGTGCCCGGTCCAAGCACCACAAACAGTGAGCGGGCAGTCTATGTCTGATCCACACCTGCTTCTCCAAACTCCTTCCCTTAACCCGGAGAAAAGGGCGGAAGAGGGGACCGGAGGCCTGTGTCCACACCTGGCCACTGGACTGGGACCCCACGCGTTCATTTATTTGGCGTCTGACCTGGAGTTGGCACTCCAGGAGCTGAACTCACACATTCTTGTGACATAGCCAAAGTCGGGCAAGTCTTAATGACCATTCCAGGGGAACCTCCAACACTCACTTTTTCTGAAAAAGGGGGGAAATGAAATCTGTATCCTGCAAATTGTCTTTGGGTTTTGATTTCAGAGCTAAGGGGCACATCCCTCTTAGACTTCATTTGATCCCCCCCAATTTTTAAATTAAATCACTTGCACTACATACCAATTTCTG